ATCGTGTTAATTTAGCTAAGCTTTCGTATGTCGTGTGAAAACATAAATGGATCGCGAGAATCGGGCTCTGTACCCTTTTTTCTTTCCCTATTAATCTCGTGTTTGTGGTGACCTATGAGCCAAGACGTTAGTGTGTATGGATCATACACGTCATTATTTGTCTTTGTTGGTGATGCGGCGATGACAAGTAGGCGAGAGAGAGTAAAGGGGGAGTAGCGTGTTTTGTCCCCCTCAGCTACTAGGGATGCCCTCATATTCGCTTCACCCCCATGCAACATTAATTTAACCCGATATAGGGCTATACTAGACGTGTTAGGAAAAAGGCGTATTGCACTCCCTTCTTTCTTTTTGTCGAGGTTGAGTTCCACTTGTAGTCCTTCCACATTGCCCTTTCACGTGTTAATATTTTCAAATTGAGTCATTGAATCGAGTCGCTCGAATCATGATACATTAGAATGGTCGACCGCTAAACATGACTCGAGTGATGATGTAACCCGAAATTGAACGATCTCCCGGAAAAACGGTGGGGAAATTTGATAAGTACCCTTTCAAATCAATACCTCTTTACATTGTTTTGGCAATAAAAACCGTAATTACGCCATGTCATAAAAGAAAATCGGCAATTTCAATTATTGGCCACTAAAGGGCATGATTGCATAAATCAAAACCATACGTAAAAAGAATTTAAACGCGAGAAATCGGAGAACGATAAAACGTAGGTGGAATGATAAGATTTGAACTCAATTTTATTTCGTTTTACTAATGCGAGTGGGGGGGGGGGGGGGGGGGCATGTCCCATTTTCTTTCTTCTTTTGCCCAAGCATTTCCGGTTGAAAAAAAAAGGGTTAATACCACGAAAAACCCTAAACTTGTACACTTGTGACACATTTACCCAAAACTATTTTTTTGATCATAAAAAACTCTAAACTGGTATACCTGTGACAATTTTATCCCAAACATACCACAAAAAACCTTAAACTGGTACACATGCGACAATTTTACCCTGAACTAATTTTTAATATTATTTTTTTTATTTTTTTGAATTTTTTTTTTCTTTTTTTTTTTTTCTTCACCTTCAACCTCTGGCTGGCCGCCGGTCCGACGACCAGCCAGAGGCGGAAGCTGGCGAGGGCTGCCCTTGCCGGCGTCGGGCGGCCCTCGCTCGACGCTGGATCTGGCGAGGGCGACCCTCGCCTGCGTCGGGCGAGGGCCTCCCTCGCCAGCGTCGGGCGGCCCTCGCCGCGTCGGGACGGCCCTCGTCTGCGTCGGGCGAGGGCCGTCCTCTCCTGCCCAGGGCAAGGGCGACCCTCGCCCGACTCAGGCGAGGGCGGTCCTTGCCCGACACAGGCGAGGGTCGCCCGATGCAGGCGAGGGTCGCCCTCGCCCGATACCGGCGAGGGTCGCCATCGCCGGATCTGGCGAGGGCGGCCCTCGCTGGCTTCCGCCTTTGGCTGGTCGCCGGACCGGCGACCGGCCAGGGTCTGAAGATGAAAAAAAAAAGAAAAGAAAAGAATAAAAAATAAATAAAAATTCGAAAAAAATATTAATATTTTAATTCATGGTAAAATTGTCACATATGTACCAGTTTAGGGTTTTTTGTGGTAAGTTCAGGGTAAAATTGTCACAGGTGTACTAGTTTGGGGTTTTTGGTGGTCAAAAAAATAGTTCAGGGTAAAATTGTCACAGGTGTACTGGGTTTGGGGTTTTTTATGGTCAAAAAATAGTTTGGGGTAAATGTGTCACAAGTGTACCAGTTTAGGGTTTTTCGTGGTATTAACCCAAAAAAAAATGGCTTGGGTAGGATGAGGGCGCGATGTGTCAGGGACAGCTGTCGAGCTGTCACTGGCGAGAGAGGAATTTTTTATGTTTCAGCAAAAAACAAAGGGACTGTCAACTCGAGCCGGACCAACACGTCATCGTTTTTTCGGCCAACCAAAAAATAGAAAAATAAAGAAAAATTGGGGTGGTGGTGGCTTTTCTTTCAACCACAAATAGGCACGTTCCGATGAAAGCGAAGGTCGGGAAATCTCCCGCGCCGATTTTACGAAAAGAGGAGAACCCAAGAGCTCGAGGAAGCGACACGTGGCAGTGTGCATTGGAATCCCTGTTGCTAAAGTGGGTTGCAAGGCTTAGCGATGTTGAACAATTCTAAGGTGTTCGTTGATGCTTTTTGTCAAACCCAAAAATACAATCCTCCCAAGTGATCTTCTCTTTTGTCATTTGCCCCTTTGTTTAGAGATTTGGATACTCTTAAGGTCATGCGTGAGGGGGGTTGGCGTCGCCTGTACAGGCTATGCTGGTTTGCGCCCCATCTCGACTGATTTACCTTTTTAGGTAAAGCGAGAGCATATGACCCATACTCGTTTGAGGAAAGTGCATATGGTGGAGCATGGTTACGAAATTGGTGCACAAACATCTCATAAGTCAGATGTGATCTTAAATACTGCTTTAGTAGAGTGTTCGGCGGTGTTGTGATTGATTTCTCGATGGAAAATTTGATGCCGCAAGAAGATCCTCTTTCAAATAATTCTATACCGAGTTTTTCTATGTCGTTTAAGATTTCTAGTATCTATCTCCATTTGATCACTTTAAAATGACTTTTATTGCCATGCAAAGTTCATTAGTGCTCACTGAACTTGAGCAATATTTTTCAATCAACGAGGTCGCTGAATTTTGATTTTCAATTACTCAAAGTATCGAAGTTTGATATTTCTTGTCTACAATTTACGCGCTCTTTGATTTGAAATCGACAAGCATACTAATGAAATGACGACGCGATGTCCAAGTGACAATGACACGGGCCCATGTGTGCATTTCAATAAAATAGAATTCCCTTTTTCTGCTCGATGCGTGCCAATTAAAGCGAACTTCTTTTTGATATTCAAGAGGCACGACGGCGAATGTTCAGGTTATCTGGAGGCTCATAAAATACCTTACAAAGATTTCGCGATTCGATGAAGCCTAAAGCTTTTGACCTATGCAGTTGGCTCGGAATTCAGAGAAGTCTGCGTGCAGCCAGCGGGACTCCGAACGAGCAAACCTCGCAACCTCTAAGTTCACAAATACTTAATAATGGTGAGGGCGTGCAGCAGCAGTACGCGAGGGGGCGTGATGCAGTTGGCGGAGGGGCAGCATGGTAAAAGCGCGGGCACGAAAGCAACATAACTGATTAATTAATCTCCGGTCAAATAATTACCCAGCAAAGGAAAGACCAAAAGAGAAGGGATCTTCGCAAGTACTACTATATAACAAAAGAGGAAAAGAAGGACGTGACCGATGCCCGTGGCTCGGTGCTTCGCCTTCACGACACCCTCGGCCACCTTCGCTCCCTTCCTCCCCCGAAGAAACCGTTAAATGTCTCCCCCCCCTCTTTGATTGATTGCTTAACGCAAAGGGAAAGGGAACAGTTTGACTATTCACCTCCCTCGTTGGCGCCCGCCGAATTGGCGGAATTGCCCTCGGCGCGGAGCCGGTCGTGGTCCATTTTGTGGAGAGAAAGCGCCCCTTGCGGTATGGTTAAGGAGGCGTTTTGATGGGCGATGGCGACGTTCTTGAGGGGAAAAAAGTGGGCTCTCTCTCTCTCACTCTTTTTTTTTTTTTAACTGAGATGGCGATCTGGTGGCGGGATAGTCGGTGGTGTTCCGGAGCACGCTTGAACCCCGAATTGGAAGCAAGTATCGAGTGCGTCCGGATTACGTGGGCGCGAATTACATTCACCGTTAAGATCAAACATGTATTTCCTCGTTCAACGGTACGTGCGAGCTGGGCTTACGTGTGTCGGGGTTCAATCGAGATTGGCTTGGTCCCCCGTCAGATCAGACGCGTCTCGTCTCTTCTGACGGTAACGTGTGAATTGGGCTCACGGGGTCAACCGAGATCTGTCCTCCCCCTCATTTGGTAGCGCCCATTAGAGTGGACTAAAATTGCACCAAATGCACGTGGGTTTCTTGATGTAATTCTTTCTTTCTTTTTTTTTTTTTTTCGTTTGGCATGTGATTTCTTGATGTAATTCGTCGGGTCAAGGCGTTGAAGAGTTTAGGTAAATTGGTTTCGTTAATTGAATGAACGCAATCAATGGGATTCACTGAGCGGACATTCTTTTTTCGATGAGGGGTCTTGTTTTTTGTCGCACAAAATGAGGGGTTTGATGATAGGGTATAAGAACGAGAACGACTATGCCCACCATACACGGGAGTAGAATAGTTTGTCCAACTTGTCGAGAGAAAGGAAAATCACTTTCTTCTGAAAAAGAAAAAGAGCAACTCTCATTTTCTAGCTTTATGCATAGTATCCCCATTTAGCAATGTAAAAGAATCCCTTGGTCGATTATACCGTGTATGTCTTTCTCCGGTCATCTTGCATGTCATTAAAGATTTTGCTCAGTTTGCTTCATCTTAAGCAGACTGATCGTATTATATCGAAGTATATATTTCGAACGATTAATCACAGACACGCATGTTTTGAACGCGGGATCGATGCAAAAAAATATGAAGGCGCTTTGGACTTTCGCGATGCGTAATGACAGGAGCAAATCGTGCTAGAGGAAAACCCAAGAAGAGGAGTCCAAATTTTCGAATAAACTCTCTTTCATTTCTCTTGTCAAAAAACAAACGAAATGGCGACCGGCTTTTCCTCCCTCGCCGCAAGCAGAATTCAAGGCGCTGGGGGTGCGTGCTGGATGACGTTTTGCTGGAAAATTTCAAAAGAAAAAATGTGGGGGAAAAAAAAACACAACGAAAAAACAGGGGGCGCTGTAGCTAGGGGCATTTTGGTCATTTGCCAAACTGACCAGAGCCCTTTTTTATCTTTCAAATTTTTTTGGCAGAGAGAGAGAGAGAGAGAGAGAGAGAGAGAGAGGGAGGGACACTCACTCCCGAATTCGCACAAAACAGAGCGTCTGTCCGAAGCGCACCAGAAAAAAAGAGAAAAAAAAACACACACACACGCACGCTCGGGGTGTGTTTGGTTTCTCTCTCCTTCCGCCACCATCAGGTCCATCGCCACCACTTTCTCTCTCTACTGTATCTTCAAGGTGTAGAGAGGGAGAGGGAGAGGGAGAGGGAGGTACATTTGAGGAATGAGTAAAGCAGGAATAATGCAGTCACTGTTAGGTTAGTTCCTCGAGAAAAAGATTGTGCTGCTGCTGCTGCTCACGACGGGAGTTCAAAAAAAAAAGAACCACTCGAGAAGGAGGAGGGGGGGGGGGGGGCGCGATTCATCGGAGAGCAGTGCCGGAGCTGGTGAGTCCCCCGATGCGCGAAGCTTTAGCGATTGAGAGCAATCGGAAGATCTCTCTGCTCGATTTGTCGGTCTCGGGCGGGTGTCGGCTCCGATTTAGTTTTTGGAGCTCGAGCGTTTCGCGTCCTGCGCTGTGTGGTTCTGCGTGTCCGCACGTGCCATTGGTCGGTGTCCGCGTCCTGCGTGATGGATTCGAGCTGCATTCGTTTCGGTTTCTTTCGTGGAATCAGATCTGGGTTTTTCGCGACGTCGTGTGGGTTGCCGTGGGTGTGTGTTGTGGTCCGCGAGCTGGAATTTTGCTGCATTTTGCTTGTCGTTAGATTTTGATGGAGATCTGTTGTTCGTACGAGTGGGACGGTGGACTTGGTGGATCATTTGTTCCTCTGCTCGCATCGTGTGTTTCATGTTCAATTGCAGTTGGCTGATTTGGTTAACCTTTTGTGTGTCATTTGTCGTCTTCGACTGTGCTGCATTGTGCCTTCGAGGTGCTTTTTTTTTTTTTTTTGGCTTTTCTGATTATGCTGACGGCTACAGGGATCTAGGGGTGGGGATGTGTGTCCTGCTAAATGAAAAGGTGGAGGATAAATTGAGTAGATAAAAGCCCTGGAAGAATGAAATCGGAAATGCCTCTCGATCATGCCGTCTTCCAGCTATCGCCAAAGCGTTCACGGTGAGAGAGTCTTTCGATGGTTTTGCGTAATCTATATTTCGATTGTTGGTGCTTTGATACTCTCGTTATACAAATATTTCCTTTTTGGGTAGGTGTGAATTGATTGTTTCTAGCAATGGGAATTCTGAGAAGCTGGCATCGGGTTTAGTAAAGCCATTTGTAGCCCATCTAAAGGTTGCTGAAGAGCAATTTGCCCGGGCGGCGCAGTCGATAAAACTTGAAACGAGGAAGCATAATAATGGGGAAACATGGTTCACAAAGGGAACTCTTGAGCGGTAATGCCCATCTCCCTGTGTTTATCAGCCTGCAAGAACAACTGTGGTGCTGTGCACTTTCATAAAGTTGTTGGTGTCTTTAATTCTGCGGGCATTGTTTGTTTTCAGGTTTGTTCGCTTTGTTAGTACTCCAGAGGTTATGGAACTGGTGAATACATTCGATGCAGAAATGTCTCAATTGGAAGCAGCTCGAAGAATCTATTCGATGGTAATCTACCTGTCATCTTGGTGTGGAGTCTTCATGATTAAATTGGGAAGCCAATATTATTAATCCAGCTGACTTCCAAAACTTACTGTATCAGGGGTCTGGGGATCAAAATTCTGATGCCTCAGGTATGTCGTCCAACCTAATCAGGCCTGGCTTGGTTATTCTTAATACTGTTGAAAATCTGAGCACAAATACTGAAATAGATTTTTTTCCTCTCGACGTATATGGATCTATGTTTCCCTTTTTGTGAATCTTTGGGTACCATCCTTGGATATCTATATAGATCCAGCTTTCTTTGGAGAATGTTCATGTCATTGAGTGGTGTGATATATGCAGTCACTTAACTGCAGCAATTGCGATTCTCCTCAAGTTTCTGCATTTGGATGTCCCTGAACTCTATAATTTGTTTATCAATATCATCATGTAGCGTAATATAAATACAGAAGAGTTTGGATCAAGAAATGGGAACATTGTGCTGAGCAGGGGTACTGGGACGCTTCATGAAACTTGTGTGAACTATTTTAAACCAAAAATATGCTTTTTCCTGTGTCAATCTCATCAAATATCTCTGTTGTTTTCAAATATAAGCAATGTTGATTTCCCACATCCAAAAGGGAAGCGAATTTTGCCTATCAACTCATGATAGGCAGAGATTGTGTAACAAATGATTCGTCTTTGAAAACAATCAATATGGGATACAGTCTCCACAATTTGTCTTGTAATACATATAATTGATACAGGCGTTGTCAAGATGCATACTTTAGAAGTTTTTAGGAACTTGGGGTCTCATCAATTTAAGAATGTTTGAAGCTGATTGGATTCTCAATGCTACAACTGGTGGAACTAGGACTGATGGGAAAACAACTGCGTTATATTTGAACTTTATTTATGATACATTCTTTCTTCCAGGTGGCGATGAAGCAGGAATCGCAGCAGCTGATGCAACAAAGTAATTATCTTTCGTCATTTTATTAAAAAGCCATCTGACTGAAGTTATAATTTTTCTAAACTTCTTCAGAAAATCTCACTGAATCTGCAGCGATAGTTAGTGTAGCTTTGCCTGTAAAGTTGGTCTGTATTGAACTTGTTGAAGTATCCCATGTCGTTTGCCTAGTGGTTTATAACGATCTGGTATTCATGTAATATCCCTCCACATAATAGCTTGCATCATTGGGCTGGATATTTTAGCATAATTTCAAAACTAAGTTTTAGTTCTTCATGCCCCATTTAATGTTTCATTTTGTTTGTGGTTCTTTTTATTTATCTTAATCGTCATTCTTCAACTCCACATGCATTCTTTATGTGGTTTGATTTGATTTGTATGTGTTAAGGAGTGTTAAAGTAATTATTGTTTTTTTTTATGGTAAAGAATTAAAGTAATTATTGTTTATTACTTTACAAAAGAAAAAAACCAATTCTGTTAACATTTCCAGCCCGAAAGCTTAAATTATTAGGTGGAGAGAGCCTATATGAGTATAGATGATAAACACCTCCCTCGACATCTAATTTTGTTGCGCAATTATCAATTTCCATCGGTATCTTTTATATTCTTTCTGTCCATGGCAGCCAGGCTGGATCTATAATAGTTTTTGTTTGGGAGGGGTTGTGGGGGGAAAAGTTACGCGTGCTTATGTTATAATTAAAAAAGCACATTCATGTCATTTGCTATATTTAACAAGTATTACCGAATATATATGAAAATTTGCTTCTTCAGAATTTCACAATTGCAGATGACACACCTCTAATAATAGTTTTTGAATATCTGTTTGTATATCATTTTTGTTGGAAGCGGTCATTTAATTAGTCATCAAAAGGGATTTTAATTCTACCAAAGTAGGAGTGGATTCAAAGTAAGAATATTACTAATTGTAAGGCCCCCCTGTAGTCTGCTGTTAGATGTCAGCCATAAAAGAAAAGGGGTATTTAGGGAAAAATTCGTCTTCCAGATTTTCACACATAATTATCTGTTCCTTTTTTTATTTATTGTGAAATGATTTTAATTTTACCCAATGACTTGGATTTCCATGACATGAGCATTAACATGTTTGCTACAATTGATTAATCTTTAAGGTAAATGGAAACAAGAACAGCTTCGCTTTTCGTGATGCAGTTCTGGTTCATTTGTTTTACTGAGAGTTCTCTTTAGCAGACATTGATTAGTCACACCAAGTATACATAGCCTATGGTCTTTATTTTGCTGTTGTCATTCTGAAATCCCATAAAATCTCTTGCTAAGGTATATAGCTACTATCGAACATGTGCATCTGTCCATCCATCCACTCAGCCGTGCACATACTTTTCTGTCACGTGCATGCATGTTTTGGTTGCATGAGAAAGCTAGTTGCACTTTTTTCAAACCTCATGATATTTCCATTTCCTTTTTCTAATTTCTTCTGATTATTCAGGAAGGAACTTCTGAGGGCTATTGATGTAAGGCTTGCCGCAGTTAGGCAGGACTTAACCACTGCATGTACTCGAGCTTCTGCCGCTGGTTTTAACCCTGACAGTGTCTCTGACCTCCAACTCTTTGCAGATTGCTTTGGAGCTAATCGACTGAAGTAAGAAACTACTTCTATATGATTGATCCTTCTGGCCTACTTTTATTGATCTAGGCCAGTCTTGAGACTCAGGACCCTATTGATGCCCCACATTCAGACCCTTTCACTTGCTCGTGTTGTTCTCAATCTTTTCTTCTTCAATAGTGTTATCATGCGTGAAGTTTCTCAGTTTGAAATGCTTCTTGTAGAAGCCGATGGAATGATCTAAACATTTAGTTGGGAATACTATGGTCGCTTTCTGGCCCCTTAGTTTTTGGTATAGATACGGCTGTTTCTTTTCTTAGCTTTTTGAACAGCTCGCAATTTTTATGTTTCCTTTGACGATTTTGTTCTCCTTTTTCCATATATGATTTCTACTAAAAGTGCACTGAAGCATTATGTGGGTGTCAAAGGCTCTGCTTTATTTGTTAGTGACAACTTTGCAAGCTTGAGGCTTTGTATATTTCTGCTAAATGTTTGATTAATGATGAGAAGCATTTGCTGGAGGAAATACAGTGCTTAATTGCTGGGTTCAGAACTTTAGCCGAGAGCTATCATCCAAAACTGTGGTGTTGATACTCATGCCCCTACACAATAGATTCACATTTAGTGGCCTCACAGATTCTATTTACAAATGCTCGACAAAGATTATGCTGAAGTATCATGTAAAGAGTGGAAGTTATCTATGACTCCCATTAGCGTTTCTCATATCGAAAATTCCACTAGAGGATTTGCTGTTTATGGAGTGGGAATTCCCACTTGATGGGGTCATGAGCTCATCTCTTCAGCTGTTTTTGTTTATTTATTTCTGAGGATAAGAAAGCACCTTTCATCTTTGGTGAGGCAGAAATTTGCAGACTCCGATGTGTTCCATTGTCCTTGTGAAAACCTTTCTGCAAGTGAGGATAGAGGCCTTGGATGGCTGTACTGTTCTCTGATGCTGGTGTCTGCTGGGTCAGTATATATGTGCACTTAATCAACCAGGACGTTTCTCACTGTCACGTTCATCCACTTCCTCCAAATCGCATGTTACTCAATTTGGTTGACCGATACAAAATCCTAATTTGTCCTGTTGTCTCCCAAGTTTATACTTGCTTGAATTTTATAGGAACAGAAGTCCAGGGAAGAAAGAATTACCATCGTCCTTGTTTAGAATCACAAGCAGACACACAGATGTGATCGTTGATATAATGTGGGGGTTATAATGATCTTAGAAGTTGCGGTACCACATTTTATGGCAGGTCTTGTAAAGTGATTGAATGTTTACTCGTTCAAGAACAGCTCTTATCTTCACTCTTTTTTCCCCTTAGTAATTTTTCTGTTATAATTTGTTAGACAACATACTTGTACTAGCATGTTCATAGTTCTGATTCCTTTCAAGTGTTTTGATCGTGAACTATGTTTGACTTTGTGTAGTGAAGCTTGCTCCAAATTCCTGTCGCTGTGCCAAAGAAGACCTGACCTGCTCCCCTTGTGGAGGTCAGGCGCTGTTGAGAGAGGAATCAGATCTTCATGTGAATCTGACATGTCCCTTGATGATCCCACAGAAGATCAAACTGCACCATCTCAGCCCCTGTTAGTGCATTCAAACAGACACTCGATTGACCAAGAGCTATGTGCTGCCCAAACTGTGGGAAAGCAGTCAGACCAATCAAAAGCCTCCACTAGTCAACAAACCAAGGCCTTCACTACATTTCCTACCCAAAATGATAATTCGAATGAGAAAGACACAGAAGCAAAAGAGAAAAAAGATGAAGAATCACCAACAATCCAGGTAAGTCAACCGGGTAGGCGGCTCAGCGTTCAGGACCGCATAAATCTCTTTGAAAGCAAACAGAAGGAGAATTCTACCAGCGGTAGTGGTAGCAAACCTTCTGCGGGCAAGTCTATTGAGCTGAGAAGGCTCTCCTCTGATGTTTCGTCGGCACCTACAGCAGCTGAGAAGGCTGTGTTGAGGAGATGGAGTGGTGCAAGTGATATGAGTATTGACTTGACTGCTGACAAGAGAGAGAACAATGGCGAAAGCCCTTTGTGTACGCCCTCCTCAACTTCTATTTCTCAGGAAAAATGTACTGTTTTTTCTGCTTTGTCTGAGGATAGAGACCAAAAGGTTTTAACTGATAGCACCGGTTCTTTTAAAAGTGATAGTAAGAGTGACTTGGGTAAATTTGGCGATACTGGACAGAAAGAGCATGCTGAACTGCAGACCCCTGTCTGCTTATCAGGAAAAGAAGATGAGACAGTTGGTGGAAGCACCAGTCTGAAGGATCTAGCAAGTTCAGTGACCCAAACTAGGCTCTTTACTGGTAGGGTACAGCAGATAGGGGTAAGCAGTCTGGAGGGTGCAGAAGAAAAGGTTAACTCCTTATCTGGAGGTGAAGGTGGTAGAAACATAGAATTGGTGGATGCTGAGGTGCAACTGGTGGGCTCTGCATATAAAAAGGAAGGAGCTGGGATGAAAAACCAGGCTGCTCCCAAGACTAAAACTGGAGGTTCTCTGAGCAGGGTTGGGGATGTGACATCCAAAAGTAGAAGTGGGAATGGAATAGATGATCCGGCCATAAAAGATCCACCACAGGTTAAATCCCACCCTAGGGGTTTCCATGGACATTCTCGATCTTTTTCTGGGCAAATTGAAGGGGGCATAGGACTTAAAGCTAGAGAAATGCAAGAAAAAGGAATAAGTGGGGATCAATTGACAACACAACCAAAATGGAGATTCTTTACTGGGGAATCTGAAGAAGCAGCTACGGACTTGGTGGCACCTGTGAAGGTGCAAACCATGGCGGAAGAATCTCATATCCCGAAACTGAAGTTTCAAAAGCCAGTTACAACTGCTTCTGAGCAAATTAAGAGGACTCAAGGAAAGAAGGATGAGGGCGGCTCCTCATATGTGAATAGTAAATTACCTTTTCCCAGTATAAAGGCTCTTGAAAGTCAAGAGACATCGGCTATGCCTTCATCAAACCCAATGGAGCAAGTTCAGAGGGTGCGGCAATCTAAAGGAAACCAGGAACTCAATGACGAGCTTAAGATGAAGGCTAATGAGTTGGAAAAGCTCTTTGCAGAACACAAGCTTCGCCTTCCTGTAGATCAGTCCAGCTCCGCTCGAAGGAGTAAACCTGCTGAGTCCCAGATAGAACCAGTGGCGTTGCAGCATAAGAAATCAGCAGTCCAAGAGGTAGCTCCTGTTAAACTGCCTGAGAAGAACTTAGCGATTGACTTAAGTGGGAATTCAGATAAGGTGACGGACTTCCATACTCCTCCGTCAATGAAGATGTTGGATAATCAGGACGCCGACACTCTTAGGAGGAACTTTTCTGACCTTAGTTTCTCTGATGATTCTAGAGGAAAGTTCTATGAAAAGTACATGCAGAAAAGAGATGCAAAGTTGAGGGAAGAGTGGGGATCTAAGAGGGCAGAGAAGGAGGCAAAACTGAAAGCCATGCATGATAGCCTTGAGCGAAGTAGAGCTGAAATGAAGGCTAAGTTTTCTGGTTCAGCAGAGAGACGTCAATCACTCTCCAGTACTCGTCAACGTACTGAGAAACAGAGATCATTCAATACGCGATCAAATGTGAAGGAGCAGGTACTAATGTGAATGAGTTTTTGAAAAACCCCAAAAATTATTGGTAGGTAAAATATGGCGGATTCTGCTGTATTAAACTTGAAACCAAAAAATTTGGCAGTAAATAAATTTTGAGGAATTAACTTCAGTGAAGTTTTATTTCTGATGTCAGCAAACTGATCTTGTTCAAAGTGAAGAGGAGGAATTTGAGGCATATCCAGATGATGGTGTTTCTAGAAGCAACCAGATGAAGAAGCCTTTTCCGAACCGTAACTTGTCTTCGTCGACTCCTCGCAGTTCAGTAGCACCGGGTTCAAGGTCTTCGGCAAGGGCTTCCAACTCTCTTTCTGGGAGACGAAGGGCACCTTTAGAAAACCCTCTTGCGCAGTCCGTCCCCAACTTCTCTGATTTCAGGAAAGAAAACACTAAGCCCTCCTCCGGCATCAGCAAAGCACCAAATCGTTCACAAGTGAGAAGCTATGCTCGAAGCAAGAGTAATGGCGAAGATCTGCCTCTTGTCAAGGAAGAGAAAACTCGGCGATCTGAGTCTTTAAGGAAAAGCTCTGCTGGTCCTGTTGAGTTTAAGGACATGTCTGCTTCGCACGATGATGTGGCTATTTTGGCTTCACTGGAATCTGATCAAGGACAGATGGATCATAGTGTTCAAGACAAATTCTCAAAAAATGGTAATTCAAAGTTTTTCCACGGAAAGGGTAATGGAGTTGGTCCTGGCGTAGGATCTAGCAGTGCAAGGAAGGCTTCAACGACATCTGAAAATTTGATGAATGATCACGATTTTGATGACTCAGATTTTGTGGCTGATGATTTGGTAGACATGCCAAAAGAGGAAGATGATGATGATGATCCTGACATTGTAGCAGTCCAAGATTTTGCCAATGGGAATTCGAGGTTGAGCCAGGACTCGGATGATTCGGTGAAATCTGGGTCTGAAATTGATGATTCATTGAGATCTATTTCTCAAGTTGACCCTGCTGCTATTAGTGAATTTGCTGCTTCTGTGCCATCAAAATTCCATCCGACAGGTTCCCTAAAGGATTCACCCTGTGAAAGCCCAGTCTCATGGAATTCACGCATTCAAAATTTGTTTTCCTATCCACACGAGACTTCAGATATTGATGCTTCCATGGATTCTCCAATTGGAAGCCCTGCGTCATGGAACTCCCATACTCTGGGCCAAGCAGAGGTTGATGCTGCACGAATGAGAAAGAAATGGGGGAGTGCGCAGAAACCTTTTCTTGTTGCTAATTCTTCCTATACTCAGTCTCGCAAAGATGTGACGAAAGGCTTCAAACGGCTGTTGAAGTTTGGCAGAAAAAATCGGGGGACTGATAGTTTGGTGGATTGGATATCTGCCACGACCTCAGAGGGAGATGACGATACTGAAGATGGAAGAGATCCTGCTAATAGGTCATCAGAAGATTTGAGGAAGTCAAGAATGGGATTTTCCCAGGGTCATCCATCTGATGACAGCTTTAATGAGAGTGAGTTAACTGAACAGGGTAAGTTTTCATGGAGTGTGACATAACATGCGAGCTGATGGTAGAGAATTACTCCTTGTGAGGTCTCTAGGTTTGAATTGCTTCTAGTTAAATTTCTGGTGGCATCTTTTGGCTAAATAGTCTTTTGATATCATCAGCAGGATGCATGTCACTTGAGATCTGCTTAGTTATTTTTTCTTTCTTAGTTTGATGCCAAAGCTTTTGTTACCGAGGGCTTCATAAGCTGTTAGCTTGATATGTAAGTCTAATCATCATTTTTCCAGATTTGTATTCTATTTGGCATCTGTGATGTTGCTGCTGAACGTTTGATTGACTTGTCTACTCATTTGCATCATGGATAGATCTGTGAGGAGAAGAGGTGAATGATATTCTGTGTTTTTGTTGATTATCTTACCAAATATATTAAATGTTCTGTCAAATGACCTCGTCATTCTCCCAGGAAGAGTTTTGATATCCTGGTTTACCGTTTATTATGTCATCCCAAAGCAAAGTTACCAGGATTGTTTTATCATTCCTGCCTGTTGAGGGTTGTCAATTTCATCTACGCAAGAACTTGCTTTGGTGCTTCAGAAATGGAGACAAGCTTCATGCAGGTTCTCATGTTGATTGAATCTCTCTTTTCTTGCAGTTGAAGCCTTAGGTAGCTCCATACCAGCTCCTCCTGCAAACTTTAAACTGAGGGATGATCATATCTCAGGAAGCTCTTTGAAAGGTGACTTTTTCTACTGATAGTGAGACTTTCCTTTTCTTTCACTTAAGATTATATTCACAGATATTATTTGCCTGTCCTAAGATACCTTTGTCCTGTCGAAGTTGTTTCGACCCCTTGCTGTGTGGGATGATCCCACTTTGTTGGAAAAAGTCTGTCAATGAACTGTGATGGAAGAGCCTAAGGGGACTTACTCTTCTACAATTAGATTAGCCCAAGTGCTCCTCAATTTGCGAGTCATTATTTTCGATGGATTTATGACAATCCTTGATTGTGCCCCCAATTTTTCCTGATATCATTAGCCCCGCCGATTTTATTTCGATAGTGTTTTGACATTTGAGTTGGGAAACTTGCAGCCCCCAGATCATTTTTCTCTCTTTCAACATTCCGGAGCAAGGGAAGTGACACGAAACCTAGGTGATCATCTGTAGTTTGTAGCCCGAGGGCATGCTTGAAATCGTCGAGGGGTCCACTGGAGAGGCTGCTGTCAGACTCAGATACAGATGCTTGATATTGGCATGATATAGTCTACTGTGTAAGATTCGTTACTATTCGAGTCATGTATATCTTTGTGAATGTGCGAAGACACTCTGGTGATTTAGTCAGTTATTTAGGTAGTCACATGTCGAAATATGTTGTATATTTGTCTTGGACGCAAGTTCGCCTTCTGGCGCAACTTCCTCATGATTTTGGTAGTCCAGGGGCTTTCCTTTTGCCCTTTATATTCGTAGCTTTGTGTGATGTACATCAGATGGGACACTTGTTAGCGTCAAAGTCGTCGACATTGTACCGAGATAGATGATACCGCGGAGCAACAGCTTATAAAAGATGAGGATTGTTTCTCTTATTTGACTTCTCCTTTCGTTTTTGTCCGCCTGAATCATTTGGTTTCGTTCTTTCGTTCCGTCTCTTGCTTAATTCTCTGATAGTACAAATATGATTCTGTTCGGCATTGGTTAGCTCGATTCTCTGATAGTACGAATATGATTCTGTTCGGCGTTGGTTAGCACAGTGTTTGGCAAACTTTGGAATGGCGACGTGACATGATATAGTTGTAAAATATAGATGGTTGTGAAGGAGTGGTTTTTCCAACTACTAGGTAGTCGTTGAGCCCTATGGAATGGTTTAAGTGACCGTCTCCTTTGAATCCGAGCCGCTCAATAATTAGTAGTTTGACTAGCGGAGACAACCAATCAATAAATAAGGTTTCTCTTTATTAGATGGTGTACCTGCTTGATATGGTTCATTGTCGCATTATGCTCTTAATATCTACGTTTAATTTAGTGTGTGGTACGTGACATCCACTAACGTTCGAGTTGTTGGTGGTCAAAAGCTACAGTCAGTCACCTGTGCTTCCGACTCCGGGAATTGGTCGAATTATTTGACTTTTTGAATCCATGAAAGAGAGTCCCTTAACACCTCAGCCCTCAGGATTATATATGGAAACCATCAGAACATTTTATTTGAAATTTATCTCAAATTTTATGATTTCTATATTGGGCAGAACCCATATTTTTGCCCACAGTAAATGGCGTGCTTTCTACAACTGAAGGGAGAAATTCAAACCCTTTTTAGTAAGTGATTTGTAAACCATCGATATTTGAAAACAAGACCTTTCGACCAACTGGAAGATAAAGGATATCAGCGAAAACGGAAAAGAAGAAAGAGCATTTAAACTCATCTTTTCAATTTGAAAGTCGCATTACCTTTTCATTTTGATTAATGATGTCGGTCAATTTCTTGAGTGCACTGTACACTGTTCTCGTCTATGAACCGTGGACTGTGAAAAATGGACGTTGGGATGTCCTCACCTTTCTTAAAAGAGATATGTGACCGCAAACCCAACCAGACAAAATTAGCCTACATAAGTAGAGTGTTAGTGCATTAAACATAGCTTAAAAGAGAGGAAAAGAGTTGACTTTTGGGGCTAAAACAAAGATCCTTTCAAACTAATATAATTTTCTTTTTTTTCCCTTTCCTTTCTTTATTTATTTATTTTGTGAAAGCATCATTATTTTCTCTTGGCTTATAAGCCAAGAGTGGTTGGTGCATTACGTGCCTGGCATGCAAAGTTAAAGGGATTCTCTGGCATCAATGGCCACCACGACCGGAGAGACCTCCTCTGTTTCTTCTTCTCTGTGTGGACTTACCTTCTGAGCTCCTCTTGAACTTGTCTCCTGCGTTACACTCAGGTTCTTTGTCCGTACTCTTTCAGGCAATAGTCGCTTCCAATGTTCAGCGTTCTGATATTTACTGCCTTATTGAAAATTATTTGAAACTTTTGTACGTGTCGATTCGGGCTGATGCGGCTGGTCTTCTGAAAATTCGACGTTTCTGTTTTTCTCCTCCTGGAATTTGCGTTATTTATACATAAGCTTCATGCTCCTATGGTATTTCCATGTCAAACGTGGTCCATGGTGCCCTGTATTGATATACGAATATGTTGGTGAATTATGTGTGCATGCGTTCTTTGTGGTCATGTTCTCTCGAGCAGTTATCGGAGTCCAAGCAGTTAGTAATCTTTCAGTTATAATTGGACTCTGGATAAAGTTTTGCTAAGTTCCTTCTTAAATGAATTGCCTTAAATGATTTCTTCCAAATGATGCCCATCTTCTAGCTCAAATTTTGGATGTTTTCTTGCTAAGAAAAAGATTGCTCGTGTCTGGCTGGTAATGTGCTTGTTAAACTGTCCCCATCGCATGTGTGCATCTGCCGGTGTGTATTAGCTAGTGAGCTATGCAAAGCTAGACTTGTTCTGATCTTGACCCAAATTACCTCTGCAGGAGATCTACTATATTTCTGGGGAACAAAAGATAAGTAAGATAAATGGCATCCCTTACACCAGGCGTGCTTCTAAAGCTCCTTCAGAGCGTAAACTCCAATGTCAAAGTTCGTGGAGAATATCGATCTGCCCTCCTACAAGTCATCAGCATTGTGCCAGCCTTAAGTGGATCGGAACTGTGGCCTAACCAAGGGTTCTTTGTGAAAGTATCTGATTCCTCTCACTCCACGTACGTCTCGCTATCAAAGGAAGACAATGAACTCGTTCTGAACAATAAGTTACAACTTGGCCAGTTCTTTTATGTTGATCGAGTCGAAGCAGGCAAGCCTGTGCCTATCCTAGTCGGTGTAAGACCACTTCCTGGGAGGAATCCCTTCGTGGGAAATCCCAAAGACTTGATGCAAATATTAGAGCCATCCAAAGGGCCTAGTCCAGCGCAAGGTGAAGCAGTTAGTAGCACCAAATTGAATGAGCAAACAGAAACAAAAGAGAAAGATGAAAGCTTGAAACAGAAGTTTGTTATCAAAGAAGAGAAGGTGGTTGTTGCATCAAGGTATATGCAGGGTGTTTTAGTGTCCCACAAAGTTGGTGAATCCGATTCAAATGGAGGGAAGGCAAGTGAGAGTGAGAACGGTGGATGTGGCAAAAGGGCTGGCTTAGCAAGATATAAACAGCAAGAGCTTAAAGATCAGGTTTGTATATGGACTCTTAATGAGTCCAATATATCGGTCTTATACAATTTCGAAGGCATTTGCCATAGTTCAAGATGACCTTCAGAGCTCTTAATTTGCTACTGGTAAACAAAGGCGTGTTCTTACAAAACTAACAGAATGCCCTTGATTATAACTCCCATCATAAGTATGCCCTGTTTATGGGATTTGGATTTAGTCTGATTTGGCCTGAAAATGGATGCAAAAGAAGTTAGATATTGTTCCCTTTCTGAAAATTTGGCTTCTAGGTATCCACATAGGTGTACTAGGAAGTACTCTAGGAGTCTATATCAGACGAGGTAACATGAGAGCTCAGGTGACAGAAATGAATCCGACATCTGGCAAAGCTGTATTTCCTTTATCGGAGTCACTTTTCGTTCTAACTGTTTTCTTATGCCATGATTCTGAAAACTGAGAAGATGAACTGTTTAATGACGCTAGTATTGCAGACACGTCCATCTACTCCTCCCAGAAGTCATCCTGAGGCCCTTGCAGTGAAGCCAGATGCTCCTCTACCCAACACGAGGGATGCCGTAGCACCTCTGAAGAGCATGCCTAAACATGCTATAAGTAAGCAAGAGAACATGCACGCAAATCTGCTTCCTGTCAATAAAGAAAGGATTAACTCCTCCGAGTCAATGACATGGGCCTCTCTCCCTCCCAACCTTTTGAAATCTGGAAAGGTACTCCTTTTTCCACCTCCACATGCTGGGTTTCACTATGGTTTTGAGCAATTTTAACCAATGTAATTATCCAGTCCAGGGACGTCTGACAATTGAACTCATCGTGGCTTTTGTCTGTTTTGACGCGCTTAAAGGAAACTGTTCTAGCGTTCTGCATAAGTACCAATGCCAAGTAGAGCACTTACCAACAGAAGCATGCTTTTGTTATGAGATATTTGAAAAATGGTGAAATGCAAACTATCTCGAACTTCCATTATTTTTCCTGATAGCTCATTCTCATTTCACTAGGGGATACTTAAAAGGAGAAATGTTGCTTCTTTAGTAGCAGCAGAAGCTCAAAAAGAGGCATCAGCAGCTGGCACTTTGATTAAGTGCCTCAGGTAATTGTTGTCATTAAGAAAATACTTTTCGTAAGTTGCTGCATGTTCATCATTAAAGTTTTAAAGACCCTTTCGTTTGCCCAGCATGTTTGCGGATCTCTCCTCGTCTACTGCCGCAGAGGACCCCCACGGTTCGCTTACCAAGTTTTTCACACTATATCAGCTAATCGACCAAAAAAACCAATCGACACTGCTAAGAAATACTGTGCTTCCGTTATCTTCTCATTCTCCCACTACAAACATTGAGAAACCTAACAACAGTGGAGTCACAACTCCTGGAAGAGGTACATTAAAATCCTCAAAGCCTAATCTTGAGATAACTGTGACTGAGAAACTGGAATGGGCTAAAGGAGATGGTGCTAGAGAGATTAAAGAGATGAGACATACCTTCTTACAGGAAACAGAATGTTGGTTTTTAAAATTCCTGGAAGGAGTGTTGGACACTGGATTTCGTGCCAGTGCCCCTGAAAGAAAAGGCAAGGATGCTTTTGGACGACGGGCTGAGCCGAACAATAACCACATCGCTGTCACATTATCACAGCTGAAGCAAGCAAGCGAATGGTTGGACAGATTCAGAGGCAAATTACATTCTCAAAACAGCGGACTCCAATTGGAAACTGTTGATAGACTAAAGCAGAAGGTGTACTCTTCTTTGCTTGTACATGTCGAGTCGGCTGCGACAGCTCTAGAGACCCGATCTGATCGTGGTTAAAATCAGGCAAACTGGATGAAGTTTTAAAAGCTTGTTTGCCTGCTTCTGTTTATGGGTTAGTTTTGACATCCAATGTGGCATTGCTTGATACTCCAAGAGTCCAACCAATGTTATTGGTGATTTGGCTAACTCTATCTGATGTTCATAAAATTATTTTCCAAATTCTTGAATATATATGTTTGAAGGGTCAGATGTTCTAGCACACATTTTCCTGGTTGCTCTCTCATATGAGCACAAGAAATGACTTCTGCTGAATATATTTTCATGTCATGTATTATGAACTCATAACATCCTGAAATGAAACACCTTGCTAAAAAGAAGTGTTACTTACCTGATAAATTTCCAGCATTTGCTCGATGTTGTCATCATTTTGCTGGAGTCAAGATAGGAAAAGAAGCCAAGCTGGAAAGCCAGGGCACATGCATGGTTTTCTGTTCAGATCATCGACTCAAAGATATGATCAATTTCAGCATGTGCCCTGCTTCTCCAGCATGGCAATGCCCTCTCCTCATTTCGCCTTCTTATTTTTGCAGATCAAGGACATTCTCTTATGCACCCAAGTTTTAACCTTTAAATACTGGCAGAAGGTGACTAAACCAGCTATACCAAGTACACTTTATTGCTCAACATTGAAGGAAAAAGAAGAACGAAGTTTCAATTTTCGTTTTCTTTTAGTTTCTTTAAGGTAATGAACCGTACATGTGAACAGATATAATACAAATCTATTAGTTGACAACGTTACTCAGGTATCGGCAGATGATTACAGCTTGGAGCTGATAAGCTGTCATGGAATCCACAGTCAAAACTCTGCAAAAATAGTTTTATGGGTGGGTGAGTGGTTGATCTGTTAGCCTTTGCTTATGGAATGAGCTCATGATCCTGAACACATTGTCCATGGAGAATAGTAAAAAGCCATTGGCATGCTGAACTACCCGAAGTTGGGTGTAATGACTATTGAGAGTGCCCCCGAGAAACTTTCATGTGTTTTCGGAGTACGACATCTCTATCCACTCAAGTCAATCATGATTTGTGTCAAATTTCACAATTTTTTTTCTCTCAAAGAGATGATACTTTTCTCACAATGATTGGTTTGAGCCTCGGGACGAGTTGAGAATCCAATCAGAGTCGAGCAATAGCATGAAGTGGCAAAAGAGGAGCTGACAGTTTTGAGTTAGACTTCGAGCGGGTAGGAGACAATCCATGGGTACACCGATGCATCCACTTTATTTTCAACTATGCAGATTATCGAAGTAATAAATTACTAATAAAGTAACGATTTTATAGAAATTGGTATTATAGAAACAATCAGGTAAGTAGTAGTAAGCCTAAGAGTTATGAAAATAAACATTGGTAAATTACACGGCTAGAAGTTGGTATATTTTTACAGAAGTTGTTAATTTGAGAAGACTCAAATAAATAGTTCAAAGCTATTCAATAAGAATGTTGATAACCTAACACTAGCTCATAACTTAATTGTTTCGATGTTGGAAAGTCACTAGAAATCGAGGTTTTAGTTCAAAATAATAACTTGAAAATAATAAGTAGAATAAGCAAATAAAAGTTGGTAAGTTACGCAAATAAAAATTGCTAAATTATTACAACTTTTTTTTAATTTAGAAACAATCAAATAAATGTTGATAAGTTATTCAAGCAAGAGTCGATAACAGTAAAACGGTAGGAAAGTACTGACTACCAAGGCATGTCAATGAACGTTGATAAGCCACGCAAATAAAAACTAGTAAATTTTTTAAAAGTTGATAATTTCAAAACAATCAAATAAAACATGGTAAGCATTTGCTTTAGAGTTATTAATGTAACACCGATGGTAACTTAATTAGATAAATACTAGTGAGTCACTCCATTTATTCTTCCGTTATAAATTGCTAATAGCATTGACTCTACAAAAAAATATAATTTGAAAATATGTCACCAAAGTAATAGTCATACGAAAATTACGACATCATTTTTCCCCGGTCATCAGCTTGTGCCTTTGGCACGGCGATAATAGAAAGAACAAGACGTATGATTATATAATTAATTTTTTTCTTGATTGAAAATTTTATTTGTATCAGAATAATCATTTTAACGAAGCCGAAAAGGAGCAATACAATTTCAAAGTTCCTATCCATATTATTTTTTGTTTAGGCTTCTGGTACTTTGTGAAATCGGCCAATCAAGATGCTTTTTTATTTTTTTTTTCATTCTATCAAACGAGTAGGAGATGCATTAATCGAATTGTCTCTTTATCTTTTACCTTGAGCAATGTGTCCTAAAAATTTCACTTAAAATAAAAGTAACAGGGATGAGCATAGTCTGAATTGAATCGGTTTAACATCTAACTCAGGGACCAATTCGCACAATGTTTGTCCTTAATTTTTAGAATCGGAGACTGATCCCGTTGAGCATGAGATCGAGGACTAGATCAACATTATGGATTTAGTTTAGTTCTAGGATTAACCCAGGACCAACCAATACTTTTTTTTATCTTATTTTTTGTATCCCTTAAAATGATAAACGTACTTTTTGAAATTACATATTCATCGAAAATGCGATATTGAACAACCAAACAATGAATACTGGTACAAATCATATGGAAATATAAGATAAGGCAACAATAGAAATCTCCATTTGCCAAAAGTAACAAACCGTAGAAGACAAACATGAAGAATAGAATAAACAATAAAAAAGTAGAGAATCGCGAAAGGGAGGAGAAGAGAATCGAAGGCAGAAGCACGAAAGGGAAGGGAAGAGAATCGATCTCTAAGCACAAAATGAGAAGAGAGAAGACGAAGAGACCACCCCCAAAGAGATGGAAATTGATGATTTCAGCGATAATATGAGATTGAGGGAGAGAGTGAGACTGTGAGAAAGGAAAACGGTGGAAGAAAAGGAGGGGCACTTATAGTTATATACTTAGAGTTTGGACAAAAACGAAGAAGATAATTACATGTTGGTTCAAGTTGGACTAATCCTAATGCCCTAAGACAAGCGACTAATCCACACAATATAGGTTCCAGTGACTCTAGGACCAGGGATTGACCCACTTCATTTGGGAACCGGACCAAGATCAGGATCAACAAAGTTGGGTTGGTCTAATGTCGATCCAGGGTCAACCCTAAACTGATGCTCATCCCTAAAAAGTAAGAATATTTTCATAATTGTCGAATCGTCTTATATTAGATATTATAATGAGCAACATTTTAAGATCAGTTCTAATGCCTTCTCATGTGGTCGGAAAGTTTCGTATAAATTAGCTATGATTGAGCATGATATGAATGTATCATTTAAGATGTAGTCGAAAGAAAATCTTATTTTTGGGATATTTGCATGTATATTATCGAATTGTAGCAAGATTTATCGTGTCCACAATGTACACATCATAAAAAAGGTTAATTTAAGTACATAAAAATTATTCGTTAATGGGAACCTCGATTAATATAAAATTCGGACCTGCTAACATTATGGCCAAAGTCTAGTTCTATTACGTGATGTATTATGAAATATTAGCGTCTTTGAGAAAATATTCAAATATACGACAATATATACTTTTGGTAATAATGTGAAATGAAAAGAAAAAAAATAGTATGGTTAGATGATTAAATACAATACAATCCTACAAGCTAATAAAAGATATATAAGTGGACGAATTTGGAAATATATGAGAATAAGAGTATAATCCTATGCTAAAAAAAAATAAGTTCGGGAAAAAAACAAAAGACTAATTTGTCTTTTATTAGACTAAAAAAAAGAAAAATAAAGAGGAAAACAAAAAATAACGCCAAAAGAAATTGTAGGAAATCTTATGTTTGCGAAGATAAAAAAAAAAAGAAAGAAATGGATAATGACACAAATAGTTCACGAACTATGTGGTCCATGAACTTTTAATTTGTTCAATGTGATCCTGAATTTTACCTCAACGTGCAACGTGATTCTTGAACTTTTAATTTGTTCGATACGGCACTTGAACTTTTGGTACATGTTCAATTTAGTCACTGAGCTATTGAACATTTTCATATAGTTAAGTTTAGGGATGACATTTACACATTAATTAAAGTTCAGATATCACATTGAACAAATCGAAAATTCAGCGATCACATTACAGATGGGGTCAAAGTTCGGGGTCCATTTGTGCCATCGTCCCAAAAAGGAAAAGATATGATTTTGTGAAAGAATGAAAAAACGAAAAAAATGAACATGATGGAACCAAATCGAAATAAAATCGCACAAGGAAAAGAAAAAGGGAAATTTATCATGGAGGAATTATATTTACCATACAAGTATTTCCTCCTCTTCTTCTTCTTTTTCTTTTTCTTTTTCTTTTTCTCATTTAGAGAACGGCAGCTTCGTGGAAGCATTTTTCATTAATTAGCCAATTTGCTGATTTTCGTGAGCTTCCTCTCCTCGCTGCAAAACCTAGAGAGACAGAGAGAGTGGGAAGAGAGAGAAAGAGAAGAGCAAGGAATTCATCGACGAGGGCCGCTCATCTCCGATCCGAGTCGCGCGATCATCGATCGATTTGATCGAAGCTCTGCAGCGATTCATCGGTAGATCGCGAGTTGCGATCGGGATTTCGCCGCGAGGCCCCCGCGCGCGATTGGATCTGGGATCGGTTTCGAGGGCGGCGTAGGAAGGAGGAAGGAGGAAAAATGGTGAAGCTCACGCTGATCGCCCGTGTCACCGATGGCCTCCCCCTCGCCGAGGGACTCGACGACGGCCGCGACATGAAGGACGCGGAATTCTACAAGCAGCAAGTCAAGGCCCTGTTCAAGAATCTCTCCAAGGGCCAGAACGAGCCCTCCAGAATGTCGGTCGAAACCGGCCCTTACTTCTTCCAGTATCCTATGTTTCGATTTTTGTGGTTTTTTTTCAGTGTTTGTGTTCGTGGGTGTGTGTGAAGTACGTGAATTGCGAGTGTTTTTGGGCATTGATCTCCAATTCGCCTTAACCCAAGTTGCCTCAGCTACATCATCGAAGGGCGCGTCTGTTACTTGACCATGTGCGACCGTGCTTACCCCAAGAAGCTCGCGTTCCAGTACCTGGAGGATCTCAAGAACGAGTTCGAGCGCGTGAATGGAGCTCAGATCGAAACCGCGGCTAGGCCGTATGCTTTCATCAAATTCGGTAATCCTCTTTGTTTTTCCCTTTTCCTGTTGGTGAAAATTGGAATTAGCAGGCTTGATTCCTTGCCATGCATTGCTTATCCCGCGTCATACTGTGCTTTGATTTTCGACTTTTTGTTTCTTTTTTGCTGTTAAAGATACGTTTATACAGAAAACAAAGAAACTGTATCAGGACACTCGGACCCAGAGGAACATTTCAAAGTTGAATGATGAGCTTTATGAGGTCCACCAGATTATGACACGCAATGTCCAAGAGGTACTTGGTGTCGGCGAAAAATTGGACCGTAAGTTTCCATCATACAATTCCCTCCATTATTCGTTAATGCATGCTTTTGGTTTCGAAAGTTTCAATTTTGAACTGGATGCATCGCATTCTAGCATCTAATTACTCGTTTGCCAGCTGATAAACCGGAGACACATCCAGCAGCGGATTTTAGTTCTCACTTGCTCTCTATTCTGTGAGGGTAACATGTGATCTTGCTGAATCCTCATCGAAAGGGGCCAATTCCAAAATAACCTTGCATGCCTAGTTGATGGGCCTTTACTGGAAGTTGGTTGTGAAAAAGAGCAGCTTAGGTCAGAGGTCCCTAGAAACTTGCCTTTTAGTCCACCCTCGGTAGTTGGTATATATGTAGTGAAACAACGGATGCTTAGGTCCATGCTCTCATGCTTTGTGGCTGCTGCGTTGTAGGCAGTGCAAGTGCCTCTCTTTCTGCGGCACTTTTCATCTCCTGATTGACTTTTCTGACTACTTCACATGTAGTTCCACACTTGGGAACACCCATTAGAACGCATTTCATTATCGCATGTCTGGAGATTTCTCATGTATATACATGTAACAGTTGTTTCCAAAACTTTTGCAGAGGTCAGTGAAATGTCTAGTCGGTTAACATCAGAATCTCGCATATATGCCGACAAAGCCAGAGACTTGAATCGACAGGTAATCTTATTTGTTGATGTTAAAATTTTCTATTTGTGTTGATGCATTTGACTGGTTTTGTTACAACCTACAAGATCACTTGCAGTTGGTTGGGTTACAATCAAGGTTGATTTTTATTTGAATTGCTGTGAGCATTTGCATGTGAAGATGTGATATTAATTAAGTTGAGTGACTTAACAAAAAACAAGTGGCAGATCTCTTTTCAGTCAACATATCAAATGGTTAGCATTTTTTGGATTAAACAATTTCACTCTTGTTCTCTTATTTAAGATTTTTTCGATACATTCCTCTGACATGTGGTATCCCGTTGCTATTATTTCAGTTGTTTAGATAATTAATAACAGGTCTATTGCTGAAATCTACCACTTACTGCAGGCGTTAATTCGGAAATGGGCCCCAGTTGCCATTGTTCTGGGAGTGGTCTTCCTTCTCTTCTGGGTCAAATCAAAGATATGGTGATGTGATTGCCTTGCCTGTACTTCTGCTCTACTGCAATGGGCTGCTGTGTTGCTGAGATATTCATTCTCGACGATTTTATATGGGCACAGGATTTTTACAGAGAATCATATGTGTTCAAAAGATAGTGTAGTTTTTCTAATTGCATTTTGTAATGGATGCTTCATTCCTTATGGAGACGTGGCAATAGATTTGCCATGGTAAGTAGTGAATGGAGAACCCTCCCTTACGACCGGGGCAAGATCTAAATCTTATTGTTGACAACTAGTAGAGTGTTTTCCGTACAGGAGGCCGCACATAACTTTTGTTCATCTATACCTATTATCAGCTCTTATAGTACTGTTGGCTACAGCTTTATCAGATTAAGATTATATTAGGTTTCATGCACTCTCTTTTTGTTCCCATGCTCTTTGTTTTGGTATGTTCATTCTTTTGTTCTTACATCCACATGAGATTTGCCCAAAAAAAGACATTTTTGTGCAGCACTGGTTGGAGTTCCTGTTGATGAATTTAAATTGTCTTCTCTCTTGTTGCTCGTGTATCGGATACTGTTGGGAGCCTCATTCTTTTGGAAATGCATCTTTTAGATTGTTTTGTTTCGTGAATGCTACTCAGGCATGCATGTCGTCGTCTTTTGGCTAAGATGAAGAGTGAAGCTCCATATACATATTATTGTTTCCCATCAAGTCACTTTCATGTTGTTATTTGCACAAGGATCAGAAGGCGTAAGCAGGCAGGTCGAGGTTTGCAAGCAAGTTCACTTGAAAGACTAAATTTTTTTTTGTCGTTCACCACGATGACTCTCCAAGAATTTTCCCTACCTCGATGCGCCTTTAAAGCAGTAGTTCTTCTTCATTGATTTTGTTTGTGGAAATGATGGAAGAAGACTGAATATCTTCTTCCCTTGGCACCGTGGAAACTATTCTATTACTCTCATCAGAGCGGTCTCTAGCTTCGCCTTGTGCATCAAATTCTTCCTCCACCATCCTGTCAAAACGGGGTTTAGCAAGTGTATTTTAATGCTGTGATTGATGAGAAATCCCGTTGATCAGAAGTGTTAGTATATCATCCTAGCATAATCAACGCACTTCACAAGTTGGATTATGCGTCGTAAAGCTATCTTTTCTGCTGAAAATTTGTTCACCTTGCTTCACTCGCGGAGCTTGTGCTAGAAACTTTAGCACGCATCACTCTAGTAGTAGCAAAAGGGAACTGATTTTTAAGTACCACCCGCATAAAAAAATGTAAGGTAGAGACGGTAATACGGCAAGGTGAGTCGATTGATCCTCCCAAACGCATGAATCATGTCAATTTACCTCGGATTCAAACTTCGTTCCGGCTATACCTCTGTCGGAATCGACCAAAATTACTCGCGAATCGAGCCTGAAAGATGTAACTCGGTCTGAGTTCTCTCATTAGCCTTTCTTCTGCCGGCCATAATAAGTTAATAACAGAGTTCTGCTCTCAGACACTGCTAGCATTTTGAGGGCGAAGATCAAAGCAATCGCGGTCAATAGAAGGGGACGGGGGGCAAATTCGTCATTTCCCCAGTAGAAAGAGGAGATTGAAATTCGACCGTTTAGGTATTTAAAAAATTCTTTTCGGCAAAATGACGAAAGGAAGAAGATGAGGAAAATCACGCTATAAAATAATGAAATTGGGCAGAAAGCACCCGAGGAGAAAAAGCAAAAGCTCGTTCATGGCGATCTCAGAGCAACACGCTTCCACCACGGCATACCACCAAATCGACGATACCGACGAAGAAGAAGAAGAAGAAGATGAAGAGAGTTACAGCGATTCCGACTCCGACTACGACCCGGGCGATTCGGGCGACGACGATCGGGACGACGCCGTTCGGGAAGACGCTCACTCTACGTTCTCGGAGCTCTCGATCAAGAACACGGCGAAATCTCGGTTAGCTTTTCTATTTGAACTCTCTTGGGTTCTGCGATTTCGAATGGATTGCGGGTGACTTTTCCTCATCGCGGACTGGGGATTGGCAGAGTAGGGAAAAATGTTGATCGGAATGACGATGATGCTGACCAGCCTCAGCTCGAGGCGAGGTTTATGGAGATTGGTGAGAAAGAAGATGAGAGCTCACACACGGTTCTGTCGCTCGTACACGGTGAGCTGAATATTTGCACGTCTCTGCTTCGTTTCCGAGTTTTCCGATTTTGGCTTGGCTTCTGGACAGTGCATCATTTGCAAAAATTGACCTTTTTTTTTTTTTTAATTCGAGCGATCTTATTAGGCGTGTAAAATGTGTGAAAGCATGTTGTTGTCTTGGATTTTAAGCTGGATTGTGATTTGCTCTATTTTTTGCTTTTGTTGTAGCTGGGCAACTTGAGAAACTGAAAGTGGAGCAGTGTAAAGCTTATCTGAGGAAGAACGGTTTGAGGTTGACGGGCAACAAGGAGACACTCATTCAGCGGATCAAGGAACATATAGAGTAATTTCACCCTCTTAGTTAAGAAATATGTTATGGATGTAAAACTCAATGAATTTGTTTCAGTTATAAATGCATAATGACTTTGCAGGATAGTCACCGGTAGGGGGGAGGAGAAGTATCCGGTGTCTAGTTTCGTATTGAAGTGCAAAGGTGAAGCTCTCTCTTTAATACAAAGTACGGTGTATTACGAATTGCTGGGTAAAGATAGCATAAGCTTATCAGTTGTTAAATTACAGCTAATCTTGGTATGGTTCATAGCTTATGTCCGAAAACTGCCTTTCCGATCCCATCATACACATTTCTTGTGAATCTGTGAGAGTATGAATATCAAGAAATGTTGCTGTAATGGGCTGCTCATAACCTGTTATTTTACTTTTTTGGTTAGTTAAACATAAAGAATAGCAGCTCCGGGTGTGTGGGTGGCAGTCCAATGATGCTACAAAATAGCTTCCTTTCTATTTCTGTGTCATATTCGGACTAATAAAGGGGGTTTATGCAGGTGATGCATGCACTGGTGATGTTGTCATGTTCCAACAGAATGTCTATGACCTGTAAGCTCTCTGTCCAAGCAACTCATGCTGAAGTGTTCATTAGGATTGTGCACAGTTGAAGCTAAGTCGTAGAAGCTTTAATTTCAACTAGTATTCATTTGAAAATTCTCTAGTTTAATTAAGATACTGAAGTACATAAGCCTTACAATTCTTTTTGTTTTTAATGTGGTTCATAATTTGAGTCTCCATGTATCTGAAATATTTCAGAGTCATTGAAGGGCCTGTTTTTGTCCATGTACCCAGATAAGTTATTCTATCTTAACCTATGTCTTAACCAGAATATAAACATTCCTCATCTAATAAAACTTTTCTGGACAAAAAATACCGATAAGAAAGAGTTTGGATAGTAATATTTCCGGTCATTGTACTTGGCCCTTTGGGTTTCCCCTGGTGTTAGATTGAAATCAGCAAAGTCGGTTTAATAGCAAGTATGGATGTATTTAGTTTTGATAGCCAGTATGGATATATTCCTGAAGTTTGTGATCCATTTAATTTGACCATCCCATTATTGGTTACTCTAAACCTTACATTTGCTGCATATCAGACAAAAGGGACTCTGTAACTTCTTGCTATGGCATCTGGTCTGCTTTTGTGATTATGACTGCCTAGTGAAAACTGAAATTGATATATGTGTGTATATCCTCTGTTGGTTTCAAAGTCTAACTTGACCTAGTTTTGCGCTCTCAAATTGATTCCGACAGGACAAATAACAGGAGACACACTCTATTAGCTTTATCTGTCCTATTTTCGAGAAACTTCATATTTTCAATGAGATTCCTCTCGAAAAGTTATGCAGAATTAAAATTAATATTACCCAAAAAAGTTGTTGGAGCAATCTTTGGCTCAAGTTATATAATCTTACAAAATTGAACCGGTGGTTCTGTTTTATGATCTGCCAAAGTTGTCTATTTTATGTTCCAGCCTTGGTTCAGTGGAAATACTCGTATGGTTTGTACCCTCTATTTTGTATTGCCTCCTCAGTTATTGACTTATTATTGGTACTTCCTTTCTCAGATTTAACATAGCATCTCGGAGTGCCAGTGGTCCTCCATGTGGAAAGAGAATTGTAGCAGGCCGTATTGTCAAAGAAAGCTATGGTGCTGCTAAGCAACAGCATACTTTCACTGTGAGTTTCTGCATACGAGACGTGATATATAATTTCAGCGAACTCAGGCTTTTCCACTTGACTTTTGATTAAGATTAATCATATCATTGTAGACTAGTAAAAAGGAAATTAACTGCCCAGTATGATATGATGGTTTGATCCCAGTGCAATGGGATTTTGCCATTAGGTTGAGCTCCATAACACCACCAGAGTTGAATCAGAAAGTTGTGAACTTGCTTAACACGTCAACAGATCAAAGGACGTTAGAAAGTTCTCATCTCACTCCAGAATCAATATAGACTCTTGGGTTATATAGTGAATCTGTTTGTCTCCACTGAGCATTTCGTATTGTCTACAGAATTATTCTCTAATGTGAAATCATTGGCTGTGTATTTCTTGCGTTAGTGTGTCTTTCAATTCATCCATTCAGTAAATCATCTCGTGGACTATAGGCTTTTGTTGAAGGATTTTTTATTTTTCCATTAGTTATTTATATGTCAAAGTATGAGATTACTTCTTTCTCTTTCATCTCCTTTTGTACTGTTTAAAAGCTTTTGAACTCATTGATCAGATAGAGGTTCTCTGGAGCAAAGGAGAGAAACCACTGCCTCCCCTTCATCCCCTGCTTATCAAGGGCCGCAATCTTTACCGTTACAACACTATGAGACAGGTTCGAACCATATGGGAGATTTCTCTGATTGCACGCTTATAATGTACCGATTCAGGCATAATAACACTAGTGTCAATGACAGAGATGGGAAGATGAAGGAGAGAGGGCCAAAGCATTGATGGAAAAGCATTCAAGGGGCTCTTTAGCAAGGTCCGATAGAGAAGCACGACTCCAAGAGAAGGAAAGGAGGAAACTTTTGAAGGAAAGCAGGTACCGATCTTTTTCTCTAGAATATGGGCAGAAAATCCTGGGTAATTCCCGGATACTATCACGGTAACACCATAGTAAATGATGCTCAGGTTGAGTGTGGTCTGGAAAAATCAGTAGACAAATTTTGCTGCACTGTTGCTCTGAAAGGATATTGTGTTGGATCTCAAAAGTATTTTACTTTTATGCTACCCCAGGACTTCCAAAAAACATAACATTAAGAAGAACCGGGTTCTGCCATTGTCGATCTCAACCTCAAAAGCAGGTAATGAAGCGGGGCAATTAAGAGGATCATCTATTGCCGCTATTGGGCAGCCAACAGTTCGGCCTATACAGATGAGTTCAACAGAAAACCGTCGAAGTAGAGACCAGTTTCAAGAGAAACGTGGGGACTCACAGAACAGTTTGAGCTCTATGAATAGAACTAAGCATGAATTTTGGCATTCTCGGAATGATGCTAATTTGGGCAATCAGAGACCTAATCGTAATTTTTCAAATGTAAACGGAGCAATGCAAGTACAACGCCGGGGAAGTAATGGAGAGAGTAGCTTCTGTGTGGGGCCAAATTCTGCTCACGAAGGTTTGACTGCATTCAGGTTACCACACTGGGTTCATGAGAGGCAGCCGTTGGCAAGTGTGAATCAGCATCCAAGGAACTCCAAGGGAGGAGCTGAGCAAGGCCTCAGGAAGCCACAACGTTGCCGCTATTTTGAGCAAGGAAGATGCTATTTTGGGGACAACTGCAAGTTTTTGCATGAGCATGGAGAACATGGGCAAATGTTATAGGGGAAAAGAGGAAATATTATTTTTTGGTTTCCAAGCCAACTTGGAAAATGTAGAGCAGTTCGGATTTTGTAAATCAGTTGGCTATCCATCCTCTGCAGCAAATCGGGGTTTGAGATTGACTTGAAATTTGTTCCCCATTTTTAATTGGTCCATCTACTAAACTTGTCTTTATCCCAAATCCTGGGAGTGGCAAATCCTGGCCTAGCTTAAGACCATTGCCTCCCTTATGAAATTCTTCTTCAAAAATAGTATTTTAACGTGCCTTACTGGAACCTATTCGATCCAAAGTGTGGCTCCAAATGTTGGACAGGATACTTTTTATCATATGCAAAACCTTATCCGGATTAACAGACGCCGTTACGTTCTAAAATTGTCCCGGTGGAGAATAATTTCCCAGCTTAAGGGAAAGATGAGGACCCATCGCCTGAGTCCGAGGATTTTACGTCAAAATAGACCGAAACATGCCTATTCAGGATCTGCATGAATCATGTGGCCTAAGCAAGCTTATCTCTCAACCCAAAGTAATAATTGTCGAGGAGTTAACGAGTTTGATCAAAGCTTGGGTCTTATAGACCTTATGATGCAAGATGTTCTTCTTCTTCTTTTTTTTAATCTTTTCTTTCGGGTGACTGCCCATGAAATTAAAAGAAGTCCACCCATTCATATATCTGAAATTTCCTTCTTGTGACAACTTGCCGCACCCAAACCCCCAGGAAGAAAAGGAGGCTCTGATCCTATCAATGAGTTGCGAATAGCGACTTCTTCAAGACATTAATTTGAAAGCAATAGATGGGCAAAGAGGCGAAAAAATATCTAAAGCTGACAATTAGAATAACAAATGCTAACGTAAGGCATCAATGATCTTGGTTGACCCACAGATTGCTTTGCGAAGGGTGATTTTTCCCCTTTTGCGGTATGTCTATGCAAGAGCCTATAATTATACAAGACCCACTGAATAAAAAAAACAGAATAGTGGTTGAAAAATTATGCACTCTGAGAATAAAATTCTTTTCATGTTAAGATAACCAGCAGCAGAAAAGGCAATCCATCTTTTGTCCATCTAGAAGTTGAGCATATAGACCTAGTCCACCGGAAATTGTCTATACCTTCTCAAGTTCACAGTTGATTTTGTCGAATTGGTCCTTCAAGTCCTTCCTCCACCCTTGGATCAGTCTCTCCTGTTTCTTGATGAGCTCGGTCTTTATTTTTAGTTCTTCCTTCATCATAGCTATCTCCTGTTTTCGTAGAGGAATTAAGTTTGCAAATGCCATCAAATAACTCCAAAACTATTGTCCCAGCTATTTCATTAGCATTACCTTCATAAGCTTTTCAGCCTCGGTTGGCTGATCCTCACGCTGAAGAGTGATAAAGTAAACTTGAAGTTTTTTGGCAGCATCCATAAAATCTCTAGCATGCCTCTCAACATCAACTAGAACAGCAGAAGCACTTTCTCAGTAACCAGGCATTCACAACACTTAACCAGCAAAGAGTTTGGCATGGGTTGGGCTGGGAAGGGGGCAGCAGCAATTGCGCTCAGGGATAGGCAACCAAGATTACTAATGCCTTTCAAAAATAGCTAGCAGAACACCTTTGTTTAGCAGGGCTTTTTGTTTACTGAAGCATGAGTGATGAATGAGAGATTAATTAGAAATGCTTACACTTATCTTATTCTCTTTTTGATAACAAACGGTACTTTACTGATATGAAATCTGAACAGTTAGAATTACACAAACAGAAACATTTTCTACATGTGGGGCAAGTTAACAAATGAAACAACTACACTTAGAGTATGTTAGTGCACTAAGGCATATCCAATGAGCATGATATTGGACAAGCAACAACTCAGACATAACTTAGATTTACAAAGCTGATAAAAACACAATAAAGCTTATTCAGCCCAGAAAGTCTAGAGATATCATGATCACTTTTTGGTCTCCTAGTGGCACCAAACAAACACTCCGTTACAAGTTAAGCGCACTGTCCCTTTTGAATCCAATGAAAAAACAGCACGAGAATGCTGTCCCGCAACCAGATGTTAAGGATCTTTCATTCCTCAAGCTTCCTCCATGCACGATTCAAACAAGAACACTTTCTACATACCGACTAATATTACCAAGCATATTCCACTTGAGACTTGCAACAACCCAAGGGTCCTCCATAGAGGTCAAGTTCCTCCAACAGATTGTCTCAAACTATACAACTACAGGGAAACTCGCAGCTTATGAAGCATATGATTTTATAGTTTAGAAACACTAGAAAGGCAACTCATTAAAACTACTTTTGTGTTCAATTGCAAGAGAAAGCCTACAGCATATGCTCTTCAGGTTTAGAATCCAGATAACCAGCTCCATCATGATGTCTAAATAAAACTTCAGAGGTTTACAGAACATCACATGCTCAAGTCCTTGATAGGTATGATCGATAAATGATCTCTTGTTCTCTCCTCTTAGGGCTACTGATGTGTCTCATGGTGGTGAAGAAACTACCATGTCCCCTTCTGCCTGCCCCCACCCACCATTACAGATGGATACATAGCTGTGGATATGTTTATTGTGCTGGTAATTTGACTGACATATGGGATTCTCAAAATATTTATAACAATGGCTTCTTTATCTGATTATACAAAGTTTTCATCACTTGAACTACTATAGATGCAGACATTCCTCTTAGGCCTAACTGAGATGCACTTTTGGAGAACCATCAACTAGAATCTTAATCAATAACAAGCTAACCCTCATCCTACTCAGCGAGTCAGAACTAGATATGTAATCACAATTTTATTTTCACAAGAACCAACTGTAACTGCACTTATGACCTAGTAATAGACTGACATTATGGGAAATTACAGATTAACAACATTCTTACGAATATAACCGATGGAAGGCTTCAAAAGGAGGGAACACCAACATATGAACATAAACGTATGAAATCATTTTTCGTCAAGCAATGACGACAGCCAAAATACGAATAGTCCCGGTTTGGTAATGCATTTGGAGCAATCTCAAGTGGCAGAACGAAGATTATAGCACACCAAGCATTCCCCACCCTGGGGGAAAGATTAGATAAGAGATTAAGCAATGACAAACTTTGATGTGAAGGATGTTGAGATCGGTCTATAGCCTGAAGCTCTCTTGCCGGCAGGCATGGCAGCAAAGCTTCCTCCAGTGCAGTAACACAAGCCAGCATATCTTCCTTTGGAGACTGCGGAGATCGCAGCTGGGGATCAACTTGATGCTGCTGATCGAGGGCTTGTCTCTCAGACATTTAGTTTCCTAAATGTAAAAGGTAAGAGAGTCATGAATATGGACTTCTTGGAGTATGAGGAGAAAAATTCAATAAAGTTGGAGGTCAACTGTAGTGAGGGTCACAAAGAATTCCAGCACATGTTGCTAATTCGGTCTTGTAACTCAGAATAAAAGGTAAAAGTACAACCCAAATTGATGGCTTATTAAAACCCTCATTTGGATATTCAGTAAGATATTTTCACAGAAAAATAATGTTGTTTTTGTTCAAAAGAAGTGCTAACTTTTTAAACAATCAGACGAACCGTTCTTCCCTAATTCAACAGAAATACCAAGGGACGCCTCTTGAGTAAGCGGCTTTGTCTTTGTCCAACATGCGTGGACCCTCCAATACAAAGACCTAACATTAAAAGAAAACCGAAAGATGATGAAGGAAATATTTTACAGTAAATTAACTTCCGCATGAATATGTTTTCATATCAATTAGCTGGTGCAGCCAACCCCAGCCAAATCTCTTTTTTCAACCCTGTACACTATATCTGCCCATCTAAATCAAGGTTTAAAAGATTTTTATACTTGGATTGCATATTAGACCTTCCCACCCATTTTTTACAGCATGATATTTGCCTTATGTTTTACCTTAAGTCACCACGAATAACACAATTGATCACTGGTAGAAAAATTTCGGCAAATGCTTAATAGTGTTCTTTCCCAAGTTGCGAAAACGGAAAAGGAGCAATTGTTATCGTGGACACAAAATCTTTCATAACATTAAAATCTCAGCAAATCTGAGGGTCCAATTCAGTAACAGTTCACGTAATAATAACAGCAATTCACAACCTCACAAAGAGGTGTAACACTTCAGTTGCTCATCATATCAATTCGACGTCGCCTCTCATAACTAACTCGGCTTGCCTTCTCATCCGCACCACCAAGTAAAGGCGAGACCACGATGCACCTCACAACACCAAAAATCTCAGCATTCGGCAAACCTAACGCGAGACACACTTCATCCAATCCTCGGAATAGTACACCCTTCCAGAATCAAAGTAAAGGAAAAGGCACCACAATACCAGGACAAACTGAGAGACTCAACAACACTGAAAATTTGGCTTATGCATAAATGGAACAATAAAAAATGGGAACCAAAGTAAATCAGGAACACAGCGCAGCTGACTAGTCAACTCTGTTGTGTGTGTGAATTAACCAAATTTGAGAACATGGGCAAGCATAAAAATCGCGACTTGATTGATACTGAATGAAAAAGATGAACTTGAACTGCGACGAGAGACAATACCTCGGATGGGTTTTCTTCAAGCTCGAAAAATGTGAAGAAATTCGCAGACTTGCGAGCTCCAACGCAGAATAAAAATGAGGGATTGTATGCGAAACCGGCTCAATCGCAAGCGAAGATGCGGTATGCAAGAACGAACTGTATTGAAAAGGGGTGTTCCTGCGTGACACGAAGAGAGAGAGAGAGATGCGCGCGCTAGGAATGGAACTTTGTCTGAGGCTCTCTGCCTCTGATAGAGGGAGGTACTGGTTTTCTGGTTTCGCTCGATTCTTTCGCATGTGCAGGCTGCGGATGTCTGCGTACTTGTAATAAATTCCTCCTTAATTTTTTTTTTACTCAACACGAAATTATATAGATTTACACTATAATTTAGAAAGGATATCCTAAGGACACCACATTTTAATCTACGGATGCCAAATGAGTGATACTCGCTAAGGACAAAATGGCCAAAATACCGTAAAAAGAGTGTATTATTGAAAGAGGGAACGGAAAAAGGGCGTCGAAGAAAATATAGGAAAAGAGACAACGACAGTGGGCAGCTCTTCTTTAATTGGTAATCCTCAACAGTGACCCAGGCATATGAGTTGTCGTCTTTCGTAGCATCCGTTATCATTCTTTGAAGAGAGTCCGGTCTGAGTCTCCTAACTCGCATCGCTCAACTCGTCACTGTCCCACATCGAGTTTCGTCCTTCAACAAAGAGATTTTGCTCCGATCGTGTGAAAGTACCCGAGGTTCGTTCTTGCTTCTCCTGCGAAACGTCGTGCCATTTCGATCGTCTCTCTCCTTTGATTCGAGTGCGCGGAGCAAGTCTTCTGCTCTGCACTTCTTTGAGCATCCGTATACATGAGCGTCTGCGTTGCGGAAAGATCGCATTTTGTTTGCGCGCATGCGGTCATAGCTAGCGAAAAATTATTGACCCGTCATTTGGGAGCTTGTGGTAAAGGTTTTTGTGGGTGGTTGGGCTAGCGCAAGATTCTGAAATGGTTGGGCTGACTCGTTCTCGAGATCGTCGCAGCGTGCTGATAGGTTCGGGTTCAGCTATGTGTGACTTCACGTGTCACCCGAGCTTCAGAGGAACGGCGAGCATGTTGATGAAGTATGGTGTCATGCGCGAAATGACTTGGGTTGATTATTTGCAGAATATGACAAGGACTTCATTATGTTCTAAATTTATGAGCTGCGTGTGGCTTTGATGTTGATTGCGTTTCGATATGTTTGTGTGCTGTAGTTTTAGCTGTAGATACGGCGAGGGATGTGGGTGCATTACGATCGCCTTTCCATACTTTTCGTTCTTCTGTTTATATTTAGTATGAATTCATGTGGCCACCATTAAGTTGCAGATATGCCGTTAGTTCACAGTAAGGGTATGCAATGGACTAGCGACATGCTTTGAAGTAAGATGATATGATTTTGCTACTTACGTCGGTGTTTGTTAATGAGTCGCATCTTGATTCCAGGACCATATATGAAGGAAAGAGTATTTGTAGGGCTATGGTTGTGGTCACCTTGTTGTCGACAATCAAAATTCGTGTAGTCACATGTAGGAGAAATTGTTAAGCTGTTGAGTTAATAACACTTAATATTTTCACTCAGGAAACATGGCCGAGGATCCTGTCAACGTGAATGAGTATCAAGAATCGGCTAGGCAAGCTCTTTCAAAAATGTACTATGATTTTTATGCGGGGGGAGCGGAAGACCAGTATACACTTAAAGAGAATGTGGAAGCATTTCGCAGAATAATGTAATGCCTAATGAATGCTGGTCAGATTAAAATCTGCAGCAGCCATATTTTGTTGTGTGTTAATTCTCAACACAGTGAATGTTTTGGTAGAAGATATAATTTCTTGTATTTCTGGCAGGTTTAGGCCGAGAATCCTCATAGATGTGAGCAAAATTAGTTTGTCAACTACTATATTGGGCTATCACATTTCTGCCCCCATTATGATTGCTCCAACTTCTATGCATAAGTTAGCACATCCTGAAGGTGTGAAACCTGAATTTTCTTGGAGGAGCTCTTTCACACGTTTCTTTGTTTTGATTTTAATGATGCAATTTTTCATCTTTTAGGAGAGGTTGCTACCGCAAGAGCAGCTGCTGCATCTAATGTCATCATGGTAATAGATTACCAAATATTTTTTATCTTAAATTTGCTGCTATAACATACTCAATTCACCTTTTACTCTAGATTCTTTCATATTCGTCTATGTGCACTGTGGAAGAGGTTGCGTCCAGCTGTGATGCCATTCGATTCTTTCAATTATATGTAAGCATCCACTTCATTAAGAATCTCCAGTTTTCTTGGCTTTGTACATTCTCCATTAAGATTTCATCTCATTAATCAATGCATCTCCTTATGTAGGTATTCAAGAGACGGGATATTACGGCTCAGCTAGTACAAAGAGCTGAAAGAAGTGGATACAAAGCTCTTGTTCTTACTGTCGATGTTCCCAGACTTGGCAGAAGGGAGGCAGACATAAAGAACAAGTAAAATGCTTTCCTCTCCCTCTCTTGCTCCCCCACCCCTCTTGGGGCATGGATATCATGGTCTTAAAACGAAGTTCGGGTATAGTTAAACTCTCTCTCTCTCTCTCTCTCTCTCTCTATGACAGAATGATAGCGCCTCAGTTGAAGAATTTTGAAGGTCTATTCTCAACTCAAGTTGTCTCTGTGAGTGAATGATTTCTTTTCTATTTGAGGATCTGACAATAGCAATATATTTTTACCTATTCAATGGAGATGCATGCATGAGGAGATATCTATGTTCCTAATATCTCATCGACCAATCTCCTTTGATGGCATGGAGGCTGTTTTCGTCATTATCTTTGTACCCTGCTATATGCTGCTCTATTTTTTTGGAGTCTGTAACTCTCTTTGACATTAGCAAGGTAGCAAAACAGAAAGAAATGCTCACTATGGCATTGATCTTTGGGGATATCATGGTATTAGGCTCAGCCCAGTGGAGATTTATTCCATGAGCTCTGTCCTTCTCTCATGTAGAGCTGCCCTTGGGGCAAAGAGTATTGTATTCGTTGGCGCTCTTTTCTCTATAACTGTTCCGTTTGATTATATCTGTATCTGGAGTAGTTTTTTTATAGTTCATTTGCTTAGAGAACACAATTTTTTACCTTTGTATCTTGGGGTGAAGAAACAAAGGGTTCGGATAACATCAGGCCAAAGAAAATGTTGACCAATGAAGATGTTTTCGCTGCCTAAATAACCTCTAGAGAGATATGTCAAATTTTTATAGTTTGTTAAATGCAGAAATTGGGCATAACATCTCCCTCACTCATTCTTCCCTTTTCCTTTGCCTCCACTGCTATTTGCAGGATGAGGGTTCAGACTTCAAAGCTTATGCTGATTCAACTTTGGATGCTTCTTTGAGTTGGAAGGTGAACCTTCATACCATCATAAATTACTTTGTAATTAATCCTTGAAATTTTTTCTGGGTAATGTTTCAACAAAAGAATCGCGTTTCTGAATGAATGAGACGTGTGAGGTCGTGTCATCCAGTGTAGAAATAGTTTTGATAGCCATCTTACGATGACTTTTTTCGTTCAATTTTTGCTTGTCGTCATGACCTACGAATGATAACTGGATCTTTATAATGTCTCTATTTACTTTATTTGGTATCTTGGTTGTCACATAACTAAATTACATTTCTGCAGGACATTGGATGGTTGAGATCAATTACAAAATTGCCGATTCTGATCAAGGGAGTTCTTACACACGAAGATGGTAAGATCTAGGATTGTATTCTAAAAGAAAAGCAGTTGAGGATTCCTCTGAAGACCGCTTTGTGCATTAATTTGAACCATTGCTTACTTAGCATATTCATTGCTTTGACCAGTGTTCCAGAACTGGATCAGAGATTGAGCCGAATTGCTGTCCCATAACAGGTTGAACTAATCAAAAAATGCAAAAAAATGTGGCTCAAACCTTCTGGTTTGGTTTTAAAAAGGCTAGCTTAAATGAGAAGTTTTATTTTAAGATGGCTTATGACCTGGAAAAATCTGTACTTTGAGGATCCTTATTATTTTATCCCAGAGTTGAGAAGATATTACCTTGAACTTCATTATCTGCTTCAAATCAATCTGTCAACCAATTTTCAGGTAGCGTGGCCATAAGTAGCAACTGACAAGGCCATCTGTCTTTGAGCTAACTTGGCATCGATTCTTTTAATAAATAAAAATTTTAACCACATTTGCATACATGACCAAAAGGATCATTGTATTTAAAAGGAAAGTCGAGAATGACGGCTTGAGAACTTGTCAACTGTGCCATAATCTATTTTTGCATTCTCATTTGTGCTAGATTTGATGGAATTGGTTAGGGTTTTTTATTAGCATAGAATCGTGTGTGTGCTGTTGTTTTATTTTATATGAGGTCTATAGTGAGCACCACGTCATTGCCAGTTCATCACTGTATAAACAGTTCTATCGGTATTATACAATACATTGACACTATAGCGAACAGTTAGGTACGATTTAATTGACATTGAAGGTCAGGATAGTGTGAAAACCAGTTTGAGGCTTAATGTAGAACTGAAAAAAATCTGTCAAGCGCAGGAGAATTTTGTGATAACTTAGGGTTTGATTGTATATCTAGTTTGTTGAGTGTGAGCCTCTAGCATTAAACTTTGAAGATTCTTCAGTTCATCTTGAAAGGAAACAACATGATGCCTCAATTGGTTTGGTAGTTCAAAGACCATAGTTATTCTGTTGGGGAAGTTGTATGAGTAAGGAATTTTGATGGTAATGGGATATTTTGTCTTCATTTTGTCATCGCTGCTATCAAGACCTTGTGTTCTCTGATATTGGATTGAAGCATCTTATTCATCTATTGACATTTCATATTGCTTCTCAGTATACTGTATCTGTTGTTACTACTATTGGTTGTTGCGTACTCGACAACCTGATCAACAAGCTTGTATGCCCTCATTGGCAGCAATTATGGCAGTGGAAGCAGGTGCAGCAGGGATAATTGTCTCCAATCATGGAGCTCGACAGCTAGATTATAGTCCAGCCACGATATCAGTTCTGGAAGAGGTACGTATTTTTACTAACTCCTTTGTCCGGCAGGTTTAATAATAGATTCTAGAATTTGGAGCATTTGTAAACACAGGATAAGAATAAATGTACCCGGTTTTGATCCCTGAAAATAAAGCACAGTGGCATTCTGTTTCCCTCTATTTTTACAAATGCATGATAGCTTGTGCTGCAGCAAGTCATCTATATCAAACAGCATTTTGGTCATGACTGTTTTTAAACCTTTGTTTGTAGATTGTTCATGCAGTCAAAGGGAAAGTCCCTGTTTTTGTTGATGGAGGAGTGCGGCGAGGATCAGATGTTTTCAAGGCATTGGCCCTCGGGGCACAAGCAGTTCTGGTACAATCTTTTAATTAGTTTGGCACATTCCTGATATTTCCCGATGTGGACTATCTGCTATATTAGTAAGGGGTATCGTAACAAACCCTTGAGGCATTTGGGTAATAATATCATGCCAAGTTAGTAGAAACTATCTTTTCACATTACCAAAACACCTGAATCACAAATGAACAAGTACCCTAGGACAAATGTTGACGTTCTCCTAATAGCAGTCTTCTTACTACAGATAGGAAGGCCTGTAGTATATGGGTTGGCAGCAAAAGGGGAAAGTGGAGTTAGAAGGGTCACTGAGATGCTGAAGGATAAGCTCGAGCTTACAATGGCACTATCTGGATGTCCCACCATAAAGGATATCACCAGGGGCCATGTGATAACAGATCGCGAGAGACTTCATTCCTCTCTCTAAATTCGCGCTGCAGCATCCATGAAGATAAGATTCACATAGGTAAATAAACGATGCCCTTGTTGTATTATCGCTTTTAGTTTCCGATGTTATTTGACTAGTTGTCATGTTTCATGATCAAAAATAAAATTGGAGTCAGAGTCAGAGCATCAGTATAGATTTGTGATAGTCAAAGCTGGTTTTTTCTTGGTTCATCAGTAGATGTTAATTTCAAATAGTACTTTTGAGCATCAAATTTGAAGCATAAAATCCTTGTAAGACATGTAATTGATCCGTCTCTTTTGACTCTACTACCTTCCAATCAACTTTGCCAAGTCAGTATCATCACGAATGTCCTCTAAATGATGCGAAAGAACAGTGCTTCCCACCAGCAGAAGGCTGGGTAAAATTAATTACAGACATGAGTGCTTTTCGGAAGTGAATAATGGATTGGATGCTCCTGTGTTTGTGCAAGTCCTGAGAGCACATTTTTGCCCCTAGTCATCCTCTACTATCCTCCTGCAGCCTTGGGGACTGTGTGTTTATTAGCTGCTACTTCTACCCTCGTAGCCCAAGCCAGCAGGTAATGGCGATTATTCCTGCATGTACTCCATTGAAATTTAATTTTAGCCTTTTATTCCAACACAAGGTTCAAGAACATTGACAAACCAGATTATACATTGTCCCGCAGAATATGGTAAGAGGTTCCAAGTCATATACATTTCCCCAGAGCCAAAATTGGAACCCAGATAAAGAAAATGAAATGAGTGAAGTTCATCTCCCTCTAATCACTGGCCAATGGTTGTGCATCAGTCTACTTCTGCTCTTGTTTGCGGAATGGATCCTACAGATGCAGTATAGCTCAGACCGTAAAGAATCCACACAGACGTGGTGATGTTACGTTACTGCATGTCAAATAAGAAAGAAATTTTTATCAAAGACATCTTTAAGTGGAGACAAAATGCAAAGCGTGCAATATCATTTCACAAGCTCAGACTAGTCTAGCTTTAAACAAACAGGATAGCACACGTATGGTTTCACTTTTCACGATTAAATAGACTTACTACCTCTGGGCAGTTAGATGAACCTTAATCAGATATGTGGCTTAGGCATTACCGATTTACAACATGTCAACTTTTCATTGTCCAGTTTCTGTATGTTGTACAATAGATGCTGTGGTTAGAAAGTTTCGTTAGAACATCCCTCTTGACTCAGGGGAAAACCCAGTTCCTAGCTCTAAAACCATGGCCGTGTTTGCTACGTAAACTCAGTTGGAGGATGATGGTGCAAACAAAGTCCGGGGTTAAGTTGTAAACATCCCAGGCCATTGGCCACAGAGATCTATTTTGTACAGCCCAGAATCTTTCATAAACGGATGATCCCACCAGCAGATACTTGCTCGGAGAAAGATTCTGGATGATAGAAAGCATTTGGGTTCCGTATGTTCTAGTGGATTCATCTTATGCAAGGATAAAGATTCGAAAAGTTGGTTATCTGACTCGACCTCATATTTATTCTACCATTGGTGATGGAAAATATACTTGACTACGGCATAATGAGCAGGATCATTTCAGTGCTCTAGCTTGTACAAGGTAGCGCGACATCTTATTCAGGGTTTGCAGTGGCGAGCCGATTAGCCGATCCAACAAGAGGGATACATTGTTATTGCCTGCAGCTATTAGTGTGGAAATCGGTGAAGATTCAGACCAAATAACAGCTGATGACGGACCAGTTGCAGCATTGATGCTCCTAATTGGTCCGCAGCTAAACCAATCCCTGATGCAATCGAGCTCCATGTCACTGTCCACGAATTACTACATTCAACACATTAAACCCCGAGTAACACCGGACGCCCCTCTCGAGGAAAAGAGGGCAGGCATTGGCTTGAGTCTTAACCACTCCTGTATGTGTTTCCATTATTAATGATAAATTGAAAAGTCAACATACCAAAATGAAAAGGCCTTGAGAATGACTACCAAGACAGACCAAAAACACCTTTTGGACTTCTTGATAGTTGTCACACCGCTATTACCTCACGTAATGCCAATGAGTTGTCAAATGAGTGGGTCGAGTTGGATCGAAAATGGTCCAATTTAAATAGATCCATTTAACCCATTTTGATCCATTCAAATCAAATGACCCATACTTGACTCGACTTATATTACTAAAACACTTCCATATTTAATTCAATCTAGGAAGATTCACACCCAAACTGAAATAAGAGTGCGGAATGAGGGAGTATGAGATTAGGTGAGGGCGAGAGAGATGAGTCGAGTTTAGATAAGTTGTAAACCCATTTACGATCCATTTAACACCCATATTATATTTACACTCATTTACGACCCATTGATTGATATATGGTTTAAGATATGAGTTTATGATCTATTTTGATAGTTTTATGCCGCACCAACCACAAATGGTAATGGACTTATGATGCAGGTTCTTATTCTTACAATGTCGTGACTCCTGAGTTTGAACTTGTTTGTGAGATTTTAGATCTCCAGCACCTCCGGTGGGATTATGGTGATGGAGCTTCTCCACGATGGAGCTAGTACGCAGTCTTTGACGGCTCTAGCTACGTAAACAGATCATATTTGGTGTAGAGTTAAAGACCTCTCTGCAATCTTAAATTCGCAAAATTCCATAACAGCAGATGAGTATTGAAGCACGTTGGCCAAAAAACTGAATGTCATGGATCAATACGTCAAGTTGGCGAAGAGAATTTGAACAACGCGAATAATGCATTATTTCACTTTCTTTTGCTTCAAGTTCGAATACTCGATTCACAGTAAATAGTACCGTACAAATTTGATTATGGAAGATCGACATGAGACCTACTATCGATAATATCGTGTAAGATTGCGATCGATGCACTCCATGATGAATCGCGTCTATAATAGATTGAGTCATAAATTTGATAGAGAAATATAATTTAACTTGTTTAACTGATTCACAACATATTGCATATCCATAATTGTATATTGATACGAATTAATATAGGTTTTCCTTATGACTATTTGCACCCCTTATCAGCTTCTAACATCCACTTTTACATTAATTTGACTACATTATCTCTCACGGGTCTCACTCTTGATTAAAAATTATTTCTTACTTTTTTTTTCTTCGTTTTCTTCTATTTCAATTTTACTAAAACGAAAATATTCGTACTCCTCTTAGACAACATTTATTAAATTAAATAAGGGGCCCATTTTTTTTTATTTAAGATTATTGCTTACCTTCTTTTATTTTTTTTTAATTTTTGGTTTTTTCCTTTTCTTTCTCCATTTATAACAAAATTGGTGTACCTCTTTTCCCAAAAATACTTTATTTGGTAGATAGCTAACTAATTATTGTGTTTCCAACAAAAAAAAAACTAAGTTAATGAGTTGTCTATTTCTTTTTTTTTTTGTACTGAGAAACTATTACTCAAAAAACAACTTAAGCATAAGTAAGAGTGAAAAAAATCATTTACAATTATAATTTTAATATGCTTCATTACGTTGTAGTTCATGTATTTTAACCGCTCAACTTTCATTTTATTCGGTGAATGTAATAATCTAATTTTTAATTATTTATTGTGTGATGCATTCAATATTTTGAGTGATCATGATCCGTTCTTCTTTTTATAGCAAAACACTCTAAAAGGCCAATCAATCAAAGGAGACGCGGTCTTTCTTCTGACTTGCAGTAGGAATATTATGTCAATCACGATAATTACATTTCATATCACAACTAAGAAGAACATATTTGTCTGTCTTTGACCTTTTCATAGAAACAAAATAACCTTCATCAAGAAGATACGTCCGCACACTTCTCAAAAGTTCCTCTCGTGTTAGAAAATTACTCGGTAAAGTTTCAAATGAACTTGCTGAGATGATTGATTGCTATTTTCGCCGTTCGTACTTTGATCATCAATAGATACATTTAAGCATAAAACAATATTGTCTTTCCATAGTGACTGTACAACAAAAAACAATACAATCAAAGATGAATAAATTGTGGATAATGCAAACATCAACCAAAATATTCCGTCTTTAAGTAAATTCTCGTAAATTTGTACCACAAATGGAAGTCGAAAAATTCACAGCCATGAAAATAATCTAGGGAAGTAAAGTATGCAATTTGCAAATAAAACTAATCTTTCTTTATTCTAATACATGAGTAGTGCTTGCTCAGATTGTAATGTTGGAAATAAGTTCAGAAGAGGATAAATACCAAGGAAATGTAACGGGGGCGGAAGAAGTGGCTTCCATGAAAAAAACATGTTATTTGGAAGGGACGTTTTCGTCTTTTAATAAAATTGAAAAAGAAGAAGGAAGAATAAACATAAGAAATGATTTTAAATATAGAATGGGACATGCATGAATTATTCTCATCCATAGCTTCATTATAATATATATTGAAGAGAATCAACTTCCTCGTATCGCTCAACTCATCACTGTCCTCAATCCAGTTTCGTCCTTCAACCGGAGATTTTGCTCCGATCGTGTGAAAAAACCCAAGGTTCGATCTTGCTTATCCTGCGAAACATCGCGCCACTTTCGATCGTCTCTCTTCTTTGATTCGAGTGCGCAGAGTGACTCGTCTGCTCTGCACTTTCTTGAGCATCCGTAGCGTCTGCGATGCGGAAAGATCGCAACTTTTTTTTTTTTGGTGCGCATGCGGTCATGACTGGCGAAAAATTCATTGACCCGTCGTCATGTGGGAGTTTGTGATCAAGGTTCATGTGGGTGGTTGGGCTAGCGCAAGATCCGGAAATGGTTGCGCTGACTCGTTCTCGAGATCGTCGTAGCGTGCTGATAGGTTCAAGGTTCGGCTATGTGTGAATTCATGAGTCACCCGAGCTTTAGAGGAACGGCGAGCGTGTAGATGAAGTATGGTGCCGTGTGCGAAATGACTTGGGTTGATTACTGGCAGAATATGACAAGGACTTGATTCTGTTCTAAATTTATGAGCCGCGTGACTTTGATGTTGATTGCGTTTTGATATGTTTGTGTGCTGTACTTTTAGCTGTAGATACGGCGAGGGATGTGGGTGCATTACGATCGCCATTCCATACTTTTCGCTCTTCTGTTTAGATTTAGTGTGAATTCGTGCGGGCACATTCAAGTTGCAGATATGCTGTTAGTTTATGGTAAATTGTTTTAGATCTTTTGTGGGTTCATTTGCTTGATGTGTTATTTTGCGTGCTCATAGTAAGGGTATGCAATGGACTAGTGACATACTTTGCAGTGAGATGATATGATTTTGCTAGTTACGTCGGTATTTGTTTATAAGTTGCATCTTGATTCTAGGACC